CCTCCCTTTTTTTTTTCTCCTTCTCCTCCCCTCCCCCGGAATAATTTCCCCCTTCCTCCTCCCCAAGCGGGGAGGGAAACAAATTGTTTGGAGCGACCACCAAACGCGCGGCCGCCCCGCGGCCGCTCACGCGTGGGGCGCCTCCCTGGGGACCCCGGCACCCCTGCTCGGCTGGCGGGGCCGGGGAGGGTCCCCGGGGGCGGGGGGCAGCTGAGGGCACCCGCGGGGGTCGCGCTGCCCGCGGGCCGAGACCCCCCAGGGACACGCGGAGCGCAGCCACGGTGCGGGCAGCCGCAGCCCCCCGCGCTCAGGAACGGGCCTTAACGAAGCCGCTGCGGACACGGGAGGTTCGCGGACGCTTCAGCAGCCTCCGTCCGCGCTCGCCCTTCTCCTTCCCCCGCTCCCGCCTTGCCGCTCTGTTACACGGCTCGGCAGGGAGCAGCGGGATCGCCGGCTCCGCCCGGCCCCGCTCCCGGCCGGCCGCGCATGTGGGGCGCTGCGCGCAGGAACGGGGACCACGGGCCCTGCCACTGCTCGCGAGGATTTACTATTTATTTATTTMTTCATTCAGGCCGCTGAATAAACACCCGCTGCCCGCTCCCCTACCTCCGCCGCGGCACCCCTGTTCCCAGCGCCACAAAGGTGCCCCTGGATCCCGCGCCCGCAGAGCCGCTCCCGGCTTTGCCCCATCCCTCTCCTCTCTGTCTCCTCGTCCCTCCATTCTGGAGATGCCTCCGGGCTGGGCTGGCCCTCTCCCTGGGGCGTTTCTGTGCACCCGCCTTGCCGAAGTTGTGCTCCGTGACGTCACGGTTTTCTCTGTGACGTCACAGTTTCCTTTGTGACATCGTGGTTTTCTCCGTGATGTCACACCACCACGCGCTCTAGAAGGGCACCYGGTGCAGGGCAGGGATCCCTGCTCCACTCTTCTTGCTGCAGGTGCTGGGGGGAACCAGCAGGTCCGGCAGGGAGGCCAAGTGCGAGGGTGTCCTGCTGGCCATGGGAAAATCCCTGCTCAGGTACAGGCGGGAGAAAAGCCTGGAGCCTCCCAACAAGCTGCCGCCCTCGGAAGGRAAGGATGAGCAACGTTGGGAACTTCTGTGCACTTCCCTTTGGGGTGTCCCTGTTTGGGGTGTCCCCAGTGCCCAAGAGGCCACACAGACGGTGGTGGCCATGGGATGGATGGGGACACTGAAATAAGCGCTTCCAAACGCTGCTAACGCTGTATCAGAGGCTTGCAGCGAAGCGCTCAGCCCCGATGGTTGCCCTGCCCTGCCGAACTGTTGATGACCTGGGAAATATTGTTATAATTGCGTTACAGCAACAGGGCACCGAGCAAGTGCTCAATCCCTAAATCGCAACTCCCGAGGGCTCCCATGCAGGCCAGTGAAACGGGAAGGCAGGAGCAGCCGCTTCCACACAGACATTCACACCCGTTGTCCCCGCTGCTCCTGGCCAGCCCCGCGCGTGCTAGCGAGGAGCCCTGCAGCCTCAGGAAAGCAGCCGGGGCAGGAGCACCGTGGGGACACCGAGGGGACACCGTGGGGACACTGYAGGGATGCCTCACACCTCCCTGCATGTGCCTGGTGCCTGTCCCCTGAGCGGTGGCCTCAGGGCCACCTCCATGGTCCCCAGGCCACGGGCAGGCCGGTGCAGGGAGCCAGGGGAGCAGGTTGCTGCGGGCCTGGCAGGTCCCGCACCCGCACCCAGAATAAATCACAGCAACAACAGCCCCAGGCAGAAATCAGCATTTGGAAAGCGGCTCTGGAAAAAACCAAAAGGCTCCGCGGGACAGGGCTGCCAAGAGCGCCGAGGCAGCGGCGGGAGCAGTTGGCATCGCGGCGCCTTACGAGGCTCCGAAACAGCGAGATCTCCCAAATCATCACATGTAAATCTCACACATGCCCGCCCCCTCCATATTTTATTCCTTAGATCACAGTTGAAAAGCTTAAATGAAAACAGGGCTTCTATTTCCAGAGCTTGTCTAACATCGCGAACGCGGTACAAGCTGCGGGCTCCATGGTTTTAATTAAGGCTACTTACCCGGCYGTGCAGGGAAAAGGCAAGAGCTGTTGCCGCATCCCGCGGGCCGCGGGCGGCTCCTCGAGCGCGGAGCGGCACCGGATGGGCCCTGGGAAGCTCCTGCCTGTGCCGTGTCCCAGCCCTCGCCCCAGCCAGGCTGCCACAACAGAGACAAGAAGGCCTCTTCCCAAGGGATATTGGGCACAAAGGGGCCCAAAGTGTTGCTCTGGGTTCTAAATGATCTATGATCCCAGGGGAGCCAGAAAGAATCTGTTGTTCTGTGCCAGGCTGAGAGGAGGATTTGCTCCCTGGGATYTCCTGTGGCCCGTTCAGAGCCACCTCTGCAGGGATGGTCTCTTCCCAGAGACATGGCTGGCATGGCCAGGGCAGGTCTTAGCTCTGCTCCCATTGCCTCCTTCCCCCTTCCCTGCGGGAGCAGGAGACACTCCAAGAGCCGCTTTGGTAGAGTCCCATCTACGCTCTTATACATGGTCTTCAAATCCAGTTTGCAGTCCTGCTTCCAGCAAAACATCATTGTTGTGCCTCAGGTTATGCTCTGGCTATTTTCTTAGATGCTTTTAGAAAAAGAAGCGCCTGGAGCTGCATGCTCACAACAACCCCCTCCAGCTGTGGATTCCTTGACAGTTAACATATATGTTCGAAATTCAAAGAATTTCCCCCTCTCCTTGGTACGCTCTGTGCTCATGGAAGTCAGGTAGGTGAGGAGCGGGATAGCATTAGGTCTTATCTAGACTGCAAAATATCTGCAGTCCCGGAGAGAACAGCTGCTGGCGCCTGTTGCTGTCTACGGTAGCAGCGGGATCAGCCCCGCACGCAGCTCGGAGGCGCCTGTTGACAGGCACGGCAGGGCTGCGACCTCAGCAGGGGCTGTTCCCGCATCCTCCAAAGCCTGTGGGAAATAAAGCAGGGGGGAAGCTGCATCTCCTAGCAGTGGAGTCCTGCAGGACATATTCCTAAGGATGTGAGAAATACTTTCCCCCTCGGATATTTCACAGGGCCAGTGCCTAGATGTGATGTTGCAGGCAGTGGGCGCACCAGTGGGGTTGCYCTGCAGGACATACAACACCTATAAGGAGGAAAAGACTATGCCAGTCTAGTCAAAACAAAGAGAGGCTATGAAGTTACCACCTAATTACAGGCTTTTTTGCATGCAAAAAGCTGTGGAGAATTGGGGATTTGGAGGGTTCTGGGAAGGAAGGAAGGGATCAGGCTGACGGATAAAGTACAGGTTCGCTTTCCTTTCTAATGGGTGTTTGGTTTGGACAAGCAGTGAGAGGATGTGTTGACATGGAAACCTGTAGCCAGGAAAGGAACACGCCAGCATCATGTGTGACCACTCCTGGACCAGCTCTGCTGCGGATGCTGCAGCCAGGAAAGCTGTCAGACAACAGGGCTGGGAATGTGGGGAGCCAGGAAGTCACCAGCAACAGCAAAAGGAGCAAATGGGGAGGATAACCCAACGGCCAGGAGATGTAACCAAAACCATTAACCAAAACCCRTGCTTCACTTCCAGATGGAGAGAAAGGATGATAAAGCACGGCTGCACCAGTGTACCACTTATCATACCTCAGATATTTCCTTATCATTTACATTCGGGAAAGAGATTTATTGAGGGAGAYGTCTGTTGTGAGACAGCAGCTGAATGCTGCGGGAAGATGAAACAGACTGTGAGATGAGAATGCCAAAAACGAGAACTGCACCAAATTCTGGGCAAATGCAGGAGATGGCTTAGAGCAAAGGTGTTCCCTGGAAACACTGGATGAACCTTTTCAGATATGAGTTGTATCAGGAAAGAGTATTGGGTAAAAGTGAGACCCTATTTCCCTGTGATTCAGTTGGGGGCAGTTTAGGAGAACCCGCAGTGCAGCCTCCCTGGTCTCCAAAGCATCCATGTTTGTGACATCCCTGCTCTCCGTCATGTGTGCCTGGGCTACATCATGTCTCTGGAGAAGATAACAAATAAATAATGAAGTAATGCTCAGCACCCTTCTGGTCACCCACCCATCTATGGGTGCAGTTCATACAATTTCATATAGGGTTCATACAATTTGTATGAAAGAAGTAGTGGGCAGAGGGCTCTAGCTGATCCGTACTGCCTGGTTTCCCTGTTCTCTGCCCTCTTTGAACCCATACCATGCAGACTGAGCATCACCCAGCATCACTTGGCCTCCAACGCTCATTTTTCCTGAACTGTGAGGAACACAAAGCCAGAGGATCTAGTTCTGTACTTGGACTTTTGTTTCCTTACAAATTGGAGTTTAAACTCAGCTGCTCCATCCATTCAGCAAGAGTGGATGATTTTCTTGATTAAACATAAAGCATTGATATTATCAGCACTGGTAATTTTGCTATGTTTTTACATATTTTATTATTTCATAATAGCRTTAATTTTAATTGAGGATTATGAGGTGAATTTAATATTCTCTGAGGAAATTCACTGTACTGTTTTTACTTGTCAGAGAATGATTCAGTTTCATTTAACATAGATGGCTGATGTCTGCTCTGCATTTGAAGAAAGAATGTGGATTTGTTTGAATTTAGCACTAATAGTTAGAAGTCACACTGCACAAATTTCCTATCACAGCTTTGAAAATTAATGATAGAAGTTGAACAGTTGATACTAATAATTTTTATTGCTATTATTATATTTTCTTTTTCTCCAGCCACCTGTGCAAAAATAAACATCGCATACTGTGTTACTAAATTTCATACTATTTGTTCCTGTGTCCCCATCTAGCATTACTGGAAAGTATAAAGTCGGGTATTTTTAGAGTAACTCCTRCCACCAATGTTACTGCTTTGTGTAGGGATATAGAGGTCCCTCCAGCATCGTAAATAACCATGTGCAGCGTGGCTCAAACTGAGAGCAATTTTTGCTCCCGTCTGTCTTCACGGGGCAGGAGGGAGACACCAGCACATGTGCACAGAGGTGAGCAGAGGAGCTGCAATAACTTGCAGGGAGTCACCACAGAAAAATGCCCAGGCTCTGCTTGATCCCGGCCCCTTAGGACTTATTCTACATGTCCAAAAGCTCGAGCACCTGCAAATAACTGGCAAATTTCAGCCAACCCTGCCTCGCTGGCAGAGGGGGAGATGTGAGCGGGACGAGAGGCAAGAGGTGATGACTTCGAGGTGGTGACTTGGTTTCCCACTTGGAGCGCACGCGTTTTCCTGTGATCGCCCGGATTTCCCATGGCCGAGCCTCCCTTCGGCAGCTGTAACATGGGAATAATAACACTTCCCCTCCTTCGCCTGCTTCCTCCGCTGCTCTTGGCACAGAGCAATTACAGCAGGGCCTGATCTCAGTTGGAATCTATCAGTGCTACTGACATGTTAATAACACTCGCAGAAACGTTTCCTCCGCGCTCCGCACCGACAGAGCGCTGCTCGGGGCAGCAGCTCGTGGCGCCTCAGCCCAGGACGTATTCCCTTTCAGCCCCAGATCCGAGGCATTTTCTGGAGGCAAGACAGAGGGGATACAAGATTCATTCTGACTTTGAGGGTTTTAAGCAGAGAGAAATAGTCATAATATGCTTAAGTTTGATGGTCCTCCAGATATAGCATAAAACGCTCGGAAAACTCCTCAGCCTCTTGGCTGCTTACACTATGGGAGACCTTGAGCAGCTCAGCCTGTTCTGGTGACTCRCTGCCCGGGAGTCCCCACAGTAGAGCTGGTCCTGGAGGGGACAGGCTGAGCTGATAGAAACTCTGGGCAACATTTTTGAGGTTATTTTTGTGTYCCGAAGGAAAATCCCCAAAGCTGGATGGGGTTGGCTGCCTGAGCAGTCTGGGCAAAGCTCTGCCCAGGACTTCAGGGTCCTCTACTCCCCGGCTCTGCTTGGAGCCATCCCGTGCAGGGCTGGCTTCCTGCAGAGGAAGCCTGGCGAGGGTTGAGGATGCATTAAAGTTACGGGAAGATTTTCCAATCATAATTTGCAATTAATATTTTTGGCCTGAGTGTGAAAATYGCCTTCCCTATTGCGTGCAGTCATAGAAAAACGTCTTCCTAGTTGCTCTAGCTTTTACATAATTCATCATTTAAAAGTCTCTACTGACTTGTATCTTTTCTTAAAGTTTTCCAGTAATAATAAATACGTGTTTATTCAAACAGATAAGGAGCTTGGCAGATCAAATCAATCTGTTTAGCCAATGCTGATAGCTGTATTATCTCTGATATCTTTAGTAGAACTGAATTAAAGCTCTGTAAAATAGCTTTTAAACACACAAATGATTACTAATAGAGGACAGACTCAAAATGCATTTTGGCTTTGGTGGTTACTACCAGCCTTACATGGCAACACCAGGGAGCTGCAACAAGCTCATAACCTGTTTGCCTTTTCCATCTGTGCCTCCACCTTCCAATAKGTGAGTTGTGCAGGATGCAAGATGTGATGTGTAGCAGTTTAACTCTTGTACAAATTGTTACTCACCGGTGAGACTGGGGCATGCAAGCCAGCGTAGGAAATAGCTGGCACATCTTCATTAATTCCTTCTGGTTCTAAAGTAGCTCTCAGGAAATAATTCTCCAAGACCTTGGCTGCACACACGGAGTATTTATTCAGAGCTGGCAGAGGCGTCCGAAACCATATAGCCCATAGAACCCTGCATTTGTTTATAACCTGAAGGCATTTCTGAGGAAAGACTCTGAGGCAGAGGACAACCATGCAGATACGTGATGTGAAACCTAGGACACTTGCTGGTATCTTCAAGCACTATAGGCTTAACCCCAACACTCATCTGCTGTACGAATAAACCTCAGAAACACCTTGATGGCACTGAGAGTGACTTAGGGAGTAAGGAGCCACCCGTCCAGGTGTGCCCTGTGAATGTTACTTGTGCATTTTTTTCTACAAATTATTTGCATATAGCTATTATCTTTTCTCCTGTGTTGTGACTGTTTCACTTGTGACCTCAGGGATAATTTCCCTGTTGCTTGAGATTTGGCCATGACTAAAACCAGGAGTTTAGATATTTATTCAGACCTTTTTTGTCTGAAAAATAGACTGAAAATCTTGAATATCAGTCTCTCTCATGAGATGTCCTGATTTCATGCATTACGGCAGGGCCAGAAATAACATGAGAACAGCTTTTCTCACAGTCCTTCAGTAGTTCTTTTCTGGCCATTGCCAAAAGCAGGATGTGAAGACATGCATGAACATTAAAGCAAATTCTCATTAGAATAGTTCAGGTTCTTTTTGCATTGTGGTAAAAAAATGTGTCAATTTTTATTCTGTTCAGACTATTTCATCCTTTTCACTACTTCAAAAATCCTTCAGTGTTTTTTCTTAATAAATCATTCTGCTAGGTTGAATTTGACTTGTGGGCTTTCATCTCTTCTTTAAGTGCGATCCAAGAAAATGACGAAGCACTCAGACCAAAATTGCACATTTGATTGTGTGCATAAACACTGGCTATCCCATTGGCTTTGCCAGAAGTCCTCATTTGGGTAATATTAARCATCCACTAAGCGTTTGCTGGATGGGGACAGGTGCTGCCCTCAGAAACCCGGGGGCTTCTGGCTGCTGTCAATGGGGACGCTGCTCCAGGGCACGAGGACAGAGTTGGCCTTCAGGTTTGCATAACTGAATTGTTTCCTTCCAAGCTGTCAACAAATTTAGGTGCCCATCACCTCTCAGCCTTTCGACAGAGCAGCAAAAGCTGTATAGAATTACCCAGCCCAGCGGCCAGGGTAAATACCGGGAATACAAGCCGGTACAAAGCGGGATCACGGCCRCTCAAGCCGCACTGTTTTTGCACATGCTCCTCTGCACAAGACGTGCCCGTGGCAGGCAGCACTGGAGCATCCGGAGCTGTGGGATCCACCACCATGGTGGTGCTCCTGGCCACACTTGCAGCGGTTTCGGGAAGCTTCCCTCACTCCTTGCTGTGCAACGTGGTGCTGTGGCCTCCTGCTATCCTCCCTCAAAGAGCAGTTCAGAGAGAGTCTCTATAAATCCATGGTGGCCTGGGCCTCGTTGCATTATATGTTCACCTTCTCCATCAGATGGCAGCAGAATTAGCCTGGTTTTATACACCACAGAGTCCACGGTTTGCTTACATTTCCTTCTCAGCAGCTCAGTGAGGAGGCAAGTGTGTGCAGAGGAGGACCAGCTTGTCCATGCAGCATCTGCCAGGTAGACACACTGATTTTGATCACCTGCACACAGCACCACAATGTGCCCGGTGTGCCATAAGTCAGAGTTAAGTCAAAGGTGAGACTCACTGGGAYAAAGCATCTCCTGCTGAACCCCAGCTAAGCACAAGTAAGGGGTCTGTCATGTCAGGAAGGTGTTTTTGAGGCAAGATTTCTGGTGAGGCTTTGCTTGTCAGCAAGCCATGCTTTCCTGAAGAGCCCCACAGCTCTACAGTAAGTAGAGTATGAGCAGCACAGATGTGTGGGCTCAGTGCTGAGCAGGTCTCATTCATACCCCCTTGCCTGAGGTCACGCTGTTGTGGATATATGCCCAGATTTCTGGGGGCTGTTAAATGGCAATGCGTCTGCTCTGAAAGAGTCGTGGCTCATCCTCAGGCCCTCAGGTGACCTGTGCTGCTGCAGTGGGATCAAATGTGTTCATCCCGCTGCTGAGGGCTTCTCATACCTGCCTGTGTTGGTGAGGATGCCTCTAGGCACAGCCTCTTGCAGTGTTTTACTGAGGAAGCCTTTGAAGAACATCTCGTGAAAGGCTGCTGAGCCTCTTATAGTTCAATGAATTCAACTGAGACCTTTTCTTTKTTTTCCAGCATTATTGTAGACACTGTCCTGCAAATGCAGCAAGCCCCACTGGGAGCTTTCCCTCCAAAAGAAGATGCTTGGCCTCCTGCCTGTGTTTATGTGAGATTCTCCACAGGTTGAGCCATCATGTCCCAGTTAAGGTAATTCTGCTTGGCAGCAGCACTAGATAATTTGCAATGAACATTTACAAACTGGCCAAGGAATATGGTTTTCAACCCAAAGGACCTATTTTTTTAAGGTCCTTATCCCATGGAGCGGCATTGTGATTTTGTCCTTGGTAGGCCTGGAACTAGGCAGCAGATAACTGTAAAAACGCTCAGRGTACTTGGAAAGGACCTAGCCATGTCAGTGCTCTCCAGTGAAAGAAGCAGGCACAAACACGCTGGTTTGCCAGAGGTCTGTGTCTGGCTCCAAGAAGCCTGCCCTTGTTTGCATTGCTAATCTATGGAGACAGAGGCTGCAAAGGGAGATAGCAGCCGTTCACAAGCTTTTTCTTGCCCTGCTTCTGCTGGGGTCTGCAGGCCAGCAGCCATATGAGATGATATGGGAGGACTCTGCAGTCATCAGAGCGAGATAGAGGGACCTCGGAGCCGACCACACGTCTTCACACTGATGGTCCTTGTGCTTTGCCTGCACTCAGCTGCTTGCGGGGCTGGCCAAGGCTCGGCTCRCTGCAGCCTGGTGGGCCGCTCTCCCAAGGGACATCCCTGTGAGGCTCACAGTGACCCAGGGAAGGTGCGTGAGCCCCAGGCGGGGTTGGGACCCAGCTAAGCAGAAAAATCCCTGCAAGTTCTTTCGGAGTTGCCTTCTCATAGGCGAGTGAGGAGGGTAGTTGTTGTCTGCAGATACTTCTGGGTCTTTCTGGAAAGGGGAGCAGCAAGAGGGTGGTTATGGTATATGGGGTATGTCCTTGCCTTGTCCTGGTGTATGTCCCTAATGGGCCCTCCTTGCTGCTTCCACACAACAACCAGGCCCCTGCAGCGCGGAGCAACCTCACGGAGCAGCCGCCAGGCCCTCGGGCTCTCCTGGGGCAGAAGCGGCGCCCGAGGCCTGCGTGCTGCGCCCTGCTGAGGGAGCCACGGCCCCGCAGAGCYGCTCTGAGCTCCTCCTGGCTCCCCGCAGCATTCCCGGCCTGCAGCTCCCTGCCTTTGGCTCTTGCTCAGCAGTTTTGCAATCACTTCGGTTACAGTTACTCCAGGCGAGTTTGCCCAGATCGCACATGCTAGCGGCTAATGTAAAACGTTGCCTGCCCCAGAAAGAATGGGCTGAGCTTTCAGGTATTTTTTCCACTTTTTTTTTTTTTCTTCTTTTCTTTTTCTTTTTTTTTTTTTTTTTGATTAAAGCCTTGGAGCACGTTGAAGGGAGACGTGCAGGTGGCAGCCACCTTTGGCAACCCAACGCCCTGCACATTCTTCCTGCTTTGTCAAACTGCTACCAGTTGATTATCTCAACACAATCCCGTTACTTCGCCGGACTGTTTCATTTTAGAAATGCAAACCTTGTGGACTTCTGACAATTGCTAACTTTCTCATTGGATTAAATTCTTAGACAGCTTTATTGTTTCATGCTGTGGGGTTTTCCAGGGTTTTCTTTGGCTGCGCCAGCCTTTTTAAACTGCCGTTTAGATTCGCTATGCAAACAGGCGCCCGGGTGCGTGCAGCACACACCCCGGCGGGCGCAGCCGGCGGCCGCGCTGCTCCCTCACTGCTGCTGCTGCTGCTGCTGCGCGGGACGCCCGCTCGCACCTCGCCCCGGGGCCCTGCGCGTGGTCCCAGCGCTCGCCGGCGCTGCTGTGGGGCGGGAAGAGGTGCTCCGCTCCATGGGGCTTCRCAGCCCCAAAGCGGCTTGCCCGGTTTGAGCATTTTGGCCAGCGCTTGCTCCAGGGGTGAGGCCTCGGCATCGCCATGGCTTTCTGCCCGAGTTGCAGTAGCTGTTTGCGGTAGGGAACAGMAGTCTGCGGGCTGCACGGTCCTCTCCCGGGGCAGTGAGGTCTGATGAAGGTCTGATGAAGGCTGTCTGAGGGTGCTGTGGGGCACTCAGGCCTGTGTTTCCAGTGTTATGCACTGGGGAGCACAGGGTGATCTGCTCCTAGGGCTGAAATGGGTTCYAAATCTCTGGTGTGCGCATGGATTTGGTGTCTGCATGGATCCATGCAATTATGCCRGGAAGGAGACACATAATTTCCATCTAGTTTGAGCAGAAATAAGTGGTTACTATTCCACATTCCTCAAGTTCAGTCTGGGTGYGAGGGCACTTAGATATGGGTAGCTGCCAGTGCAGCTATAACCAGAGCACAGACACCTGCAGTGGTTGGGGACCGCTGAGAGCAGCAGTGCCCATACAGCCCGGCGGGCACGAGTGTCACAAAGGCTCACGAAAATCTGAAGGGCAGCCCTGGGAGGACTGGAGAGAGCTCTGGCTTTTCTCCTGCTGGCCTTGGAAGGAATTAGGCCTCAGCTTCTGTGGAGAAATCACTCTGCTTTGTTTTGCACCTCTTYGTGCCACATCAGATCCAGGGCTTGGCAGTCACCTATATTCCCGAGTTGCTACGCTGAAAAACATTCACCTAGTCATTACATTCTGGGAAGTGAACCAACGCTGGCCCACAGATGTCCGCTTCTCCAAATATTTTTCCTTTTACATGATACCCCACCACAGACAGWTGTGGAATGGGCTGGAAGGAGGCATCCATCTGACCGTAACTTCTGATTCTGAACATATTTTGCCCCTCGTCTGCAAGTGCACGTGTAATGTTTCTGTCCAAAGTCTGCCTCAGCTCTGCTTTGAGTATTTTCCTCTRTAGCCCCATGAAGGGGTAGGAGTTAGCTGGTCTGCTTTCTATATGGCCAAATTAAAAACAAAAACAGCCACAAGTGAGCGAAATGAGGGTCTGCAGAGTGAGGCTGGCAGCCATGGGAAGGAATTTTTTTCCATGTACTGGGCAAGAACAGCATAGAGAGGAGAATGCAGGAGCTCCTGCACCGTTCCCTGCAGTCGCTTGCCACTTATGCCTCAGCTGGGTTACAAAGGCAGTGGGATTTTCGCTCTCAGACCTACACAGCACYGGTCCCTTCGCTAAGTACACTCAGAAACAGTCCTCTGTTGAACTGGTTGTCCCATGAAAACGTCCAGAGAAGCCCCCTTGTTTTATATCATCCTCCAGTGTGGCCCTAATCAGCCTCAGTTCTGTAGCCAAGTTTTACTACACTGCTGACCATGTACCACCAGTCTCTTTCTCCTCTTTTTTTTTTTTTTTTAAATAATGTCTGTTTGTCCCAATATGGGTTCCCCCACCCTTCCGTCACTGGAAGGTCTAATGCTGAGTGAAAAACCACGAATATTCCTCAAACGTGTTCTGCCAAGTCTCTTTACAGTACAATACTGGCAGGCGCGAAACACTGGGGCTGAGCAAATATGCAAGCTTCATCACATTAAAGGAAGCAGAGCAGCAGGACTATTGCATCATTCCATGGCTTCCCAGACGTTGTTGTTATTTTTTTCATTAGTGCAACAGAACGGCACTCGGTGCTTTTGCTAACGAGCCAGGGAGGCCCCAAAACGCTGTTGACTGGAGGAGAGAACGGGGCAATTGGAAAGATGAGTGGTTTGCAGCACTGATTTTATAGTGCAGCCTCTACCAGTCTGTGGTAGAGGGAACCAGCAACATGATCTATGTTCACATTTTTTTTTTKTTTTTCAAAAAGGACACATAGCCAAATACTCAAAGCTATTTGCTTGTTCAAGACAAGTTATTTGAAGATTTAACTACTACTGAGTCAACTAACAATTTTCAGCAGTAAATCGTTTCAATGCCGTATCATATGCTTTTAATTTCATCAGTATCTTTCTAGTGACTTCTGAATTACCATTTTTATTAAAATCTTTTTTTCAAAGCAGTACACAAATCCCCGGGTGTTTAACCTGGGTATCAGCACTCGCAGCCCAAGGCTCAGCCACCACAGCCAATTTCTGCTCCCAAAGCCACCCTGCTGGTGCAGGTGCTCCCTGTTTTCTCTTGGCATGCCCCAAGTGCCTCACAGGAGTGGTACGTGTCATGGAAGGGCTGGAGAAAAATCCACCACCAAGAGTTTAATGAACCATTTTGCCAAAGAAAAGCTTCTAGGGAGATTCTCACCTAATCACGAGTGGAGAAAGCAGCAGCCAGGATCCTGGTTCAACAGGGAGGTGCCGGAAAACTTGCTCTGTGACCTATCGTTTCATGGCTCAGGCTTAGCACAAGTTCATTCTTCTGGCCCTTCTCCAGAATACATTCGAAGTGACAACAAAGCACAGTTTTGGCTGGCTGGCTGCCCTATCTCGTCACCACATCAGGATTCCTAAATGATAGGAGAAAACCCAGGGATCTTGTGGAGCTGGTTTTGTGCCGCTGGGGAGCTGCGAAAGCGATAGGATTAGGCCACGTCATACAAGCCGATAGCCAAAGCCAACGCTTCCCTGTGTGGGTTTATGAACCTTGGAGAAAGGAAGCAGGTTTGTAACCAAAGTAGAATTGATTGCAGTCATGGTAAATGAAGGCTCACACAGCCGAATTGCCCTGTGTCCCACCTAGATTCAAGTAAAACCCATAGCTCGCCAGTGAAAACAACTGGGAAAAAGGAGAGAAACTTGCCAACCTAAAGGTGCCTGGCAGTTATCACAGAAACAAGTTGTGAAAACAAGCAAAATTTACATAAATGCTATTCATGCCTTCCCATTAAATAGGGAATATCATAGGACTGATATTTAGGCAACAAGATGCAAAGCACCTGGTACTATGTAAAACTGCACTCAAGAAGTCAGGGAAAGGGCTCAGTCTTTGCTAGCACCAATATTCAGAGCAGCAAAACGTTGAGTGCTGAGGAACTTCACTGCTTAAGCAGGGGACAGAACAATACTTGGTAAAACTCATTTCCTTCAGAAACCGTGTAGTTTARCTTCCTCTTGCCATGGCTCCATCTCCAGACACTCTGGTCCTGGTATGTGTCAGGTCATTGAAAAACAGGAGATCAGGGAGCACTGCTGCTCCCCATTATTCTCGATCCCGAGTAGTATGTGGTGAAGCTGAAGTGGCTAAAGAAGCAGCAAACCACAATTAACAGTTGGGGAGCAGTTAGCTTCTGGCTCTGGAAATACGCTCTGCRAACAGCCCGAGTGTGGAAACGTGAACGCTGTGCTACAGAAACACATTTCGCATTTTCTTTGTAGTCATTCTGTTATCATATGTACTTTTCTTTTTTTTTTCAGTAGAAATGTGCAAGGAACAGCCACCTAATTTATTATGAGATGAAATTCTTAAACTAACATTATCTAGCACAGCCACCCAGGACAGCCCACACCTCTGACCCCCAGTGTCAGCAGTTCATTTGACTCATTCTAGGCGCTACAAAAAGGAAGAGGAATCACATTTCTTACGGAGCGATCAGTTAGCAAATTAGCGATGGGAATCTGCAGGCACACGCGACTCTCARGCTCATTTACCCTCTGAAGAAAAGTTCTGGTGAGGAAGCAGAATAACAAAGCCCCTAATCCGTCTCAGATGCCATTGCGCCCAGGCCGTGAAGTTTATATTGCCTTAACAACTTGGAGACAATATTGTGTGTCAGAACACACGCACTTGTCATTAGCCTGAACATTAAGAGGAAATGAACATAAATCCCAGATTTAAATGTGTAGTTTGAACATCCTGGGATAATTAAATTATTGATAATGGTTATCTGTCACCAAGCAATAAATCATGGAGTGGCAAAACAAAAGCTATCTTGCTGCTGACAGATACATAGACTGAAAGATTTGCTCGGCCTTTAAGCTTCCAAAAGTAATTACAGAAAGGTGAAAGATTTCTCTTCTTGCCTTTTTTTCCTCATCATTTCTAGTGTTTCCATACTCAACRTGACACTTTTTCACAGCATCTTTTCTTATTCGGCTCTGATTTTTCTGGCGTTTTAATGGAAGCGAGGACGGGAGCTGGCAGCTCGCAGCGGCGGCGGGTCGGCCTCGCGCGCGCTGCCTCGGCACGTGCTGCTCTGCGCGCTCCGCGGAGCTGCCGCGCGGGGTTTGAGGCGCTGCTCGACTCTCTTCTTGCAAGCCAAGGTCAAAAGCAGAGTCAAAGTGAGAAAGTCAAAAGCAAGTCAAAGGGACGGCAAAATCAATCTGAACAGACTGCAGGCTGGAAGTACTGCAAGCCTGGGAAAACAAAGGAATTACATGAAGAAAACCAGCAAGCAGAAGCCAGCAAAGAAACGCACCTGTGAGGGATCCCCTTTTGAGTCTCTTGATTTTTGCAATAAAAGTAAGGACCTTATATTAGGTTTTTAGCAGCAGGGCGCAGAGCGGCTCCTCGGCAGGCCACGGTGCTGGGACACTCCACACGGAGCCCCTGGGAGCCTGTCAGACGCCCACGCTGTCCCGAGCGCCCCGGAGCAGCCCGAGACTGGCTTCGTTTATTCCCTGCCCAAAACGAAATCTCTTCATATTCATTACGTGAAATCCAGCAGTTTTAGTAACTTCAAAAAATGTCTGTTTTTTAAAATACASCTCTTTTGACTGTGTGGCAAGTCTGTGTTGATTTCACAATTTCTTCTTCCTGTGCAGAACTTAAAAACTACTATAATAACATAGGAAAATACCACCTTACACTGAGGATGAGGTGTCCTATATATTTAAACCAAGTCTTCAGCTGAGCTATTCAAAAGCTTAAGGGCTCCCAGCRCGTGTGAGAGCATTGCACTGAGCCTGTGTAATTTGTGACACTTATTTCCCTGGTACCTGTATTATAAAATTAGGTTTCCTATAAAYTAATACCACTTGAATTCTATGTTAAGGAGCCAGGAGTGCTTTGAGAGGTCAGGTTAAGGACAACTGTTATTGTCAGGGAGGTTTTTTCCCCCACACCAATAAGGAAAATAAGCCACTATTTTATATAGTTTTCATAGGCAAGACTGCCACATCTTGTCTCACAAAAAAGAAATAAAAAGAAATAACAGAAATAACACTGAGCCCTCCCCTTCAAAATGAATCCATCAATCAAATCTTTTCGAGTGTTTATGTGACTAGCTATGGAGCAAACACTGTTACCAGCGTTGTGACAGCCGTAGAATAATACAGATATGTCTGTTTAAAATAACACACCAGGCCTAAGGGCCAGAGCCAAAAAATAGCTGAAATAATAGTATTTTCTTGGTCACTGGTTGCTAAATTGAATTTGTGCCACCCCTGTGACCATAGAGGTGTTTGCATTGATCAAAACCACTAATAGGATTAACGTTTTGATTTGTTTGACTTTCTTTTTTTCAGTTTTGTCACTTGTAATTAAGCCATTACCATTTTTAGGGAAATGTCTTGGTCACTATTATTTGTTGAGCATGGCACATACTTTATCAAAGAACCGATAACAGTTTAACAGATATTTGGGATGTAGTTCTGTGGCTCTGTTATCTGAATAATTGATTACATGGTGGTTGTTGAATACCAGTAATTGACTATATGGTTATTGAAAGGGATTTAATAACTCTAAATATAATTTTGTATATAGGAGTAAAGTAACTACCTCAAAACATGCTGCTGGCAGTTTACAAATGGAAAATCTCAGAGAAATAATCTATAATGTGTAAACATGAAGTGATACATTTTATTTACAGCTGATAAATTTCAATTTAATTTAAATGTATATGTTAATTGAGATACACATTTTATCAGCTTCTTGTGAAATTAGGCGCTATTTTGTTTGATGCTGGTAGTAAGAGAAAATGTGGAATGATGTCTACAGCTACAGCTGTTTGCAGTCCTTATGTAACACCAGATGTGAGATTGATGTATCTATAGCTTGTCCTCTCCTGTGAATTGCAAGTGATCAAACAGGCAAAAAAAACATAGTGACAGGATGATTAGACAAGTTTAGCAGGAAGGGAATTGTTCAAGACATTCATAAATTACTGCACAACCACACACGTGCTGCAGTGGGAAATGTATTTATTGTAACCTTACAGCTATGGCAAAACACATATATCTAAGCTGAATCTGAGATACAAGCTTATTAATTACAGAAAACTACTTTGACCTATCTTATAGACACCATCAGGGTAAAAACAAACAAAACCTCCTTTTGTTTTCACAGACTTATTTTTATTAGTAAATTACTCTCCTATAAACATTTTATGAACTCTACTGTGAAAGACAGATACTAGATCAAGCAGTCATGCATTTTAGTGTAGCTGCATTGTAAAAGAAGTCGGTGGATAAGAGCTGTGGAAGCATCAGCCGTATTTTGCTTTTTCTGTTGCCAGAGCCAGCCGGCGAATGTTGGCTATGCAGCCAGCTGCCGCCTCCTGGAGAGTTTCATCCGTGGAGCCTACCATAGCCAGGAGGAGCTAGGGAAAACACAAAAGAGAAACAGCATCAGGAAAACAAATCCGTATGTTTTTTCTGCAACTAATGTTCAAATCACATACACAACAATTGTACCAATCTACTCAGATACATACAGAGAAATAAAGTGTTAAAAATTGCGGTAACCAAAGTTATTTGCTAGCTAAGATATAGAAATAAAATGCTTTAAGGTTTATAATATTTGTTCCTTACACTTCATGTACTGATTATCTCATTACCTCTGCCTCTCAGTTCTGACTTAGCTCTTTCCTTGAGAGTAGAAAATGCACATGCCTTAATTRAAATGAGGATTGCTCCTCAAGGCATAGTAGTGTATTTGTACATGCTGAAGATTTCCAGCAAACAAAACTCTGCACGGTGTTTTGGCCTTGATCTTGAAACTGGATCCATGTGAAAGGGCCCTCGTGTCCCATTGACTGCAGTAAGTTTCTTTATTGTCACAGCAAACCACTCACGTGAAACTATTTGAGGGATAACAGTCCGAGCATAACATTCTCAAATGTTTGCACGTAAGAGTGAAAAACAAAAGTTCAACAAAAGCCCCAAACTTCTGGAGCTGATTCAACTCTTCAGTCATGTGGAGCAGATCCTTTAYTCTGGAAGCCATTCAGCTCTTTCAGTGGAAACTCCCTTGGAGTAAGGCACTGCTCAGCACCAGTATGACATAAGAGAGGGCTTGAGGAGAAAACATTTTTACATATCAGAAAAACATTAATAATCACTTTTTGGCTCTTATTTTCTTAGTGTGTTGCAATCAGTGATGCAACTGCAGAGGCAATATATGCTGGAAAACCAAAGACTTATTTAGCTTAAATCAACTCTGTGAAATCCTTAGGTTTCTGAAAATCTGCCAAACTTAATGTGAGTTCAGGTATTTTGAAGCTCAGACAGCTCTAATTAAAACCTAGATTTTCAGTCTGCAATACTTAGGATTCTGCGTTCACCCAAACAATGTTGAGTCAAACCACAAAGAAATCTGTTATCACTCAACTCYGGTGCATATTTTTCATACAGCTAAAATATTACATAAAATTATGAACTGCTAAATATAAAAGCATAAATTGAATGCAGACATCAAATTCATATGCTACCTTTTTCTAACCTTCCAGCAATCATGAGGCATGGGCCACAGCTGCACACATATGGCATTTGCTTATAGAGATCAAAGCATTTTATACTTGAGGAAGTATTTGTGTTAGCCAAATGTACAAAATAAGCATCTTGCCAGTCACCTTTCACTCTTTGACCCCTATATATAACCTATAAGATTGCCTGTAATATGCCTGAATTATGTCAAAAAGACCCTTCTTGTAAATTAAGCATTGATGGTAAGTTCTTCTAGCCACTCTTCTTCCTATAATTTCCATTAATGTAATCAATTGTTTAATTGTTAAGAATTCTTGAAGTGTGAATACTGTGAAAGGATACACCTGAGTTAAAACCTCTATTTTAAAGATGATGGCAAATGATATGTGAAAGCCTTATATTTTCATATTTTATTGATATACAAAATGCAGGCTAAGTTAWGCAGGCAGTGAAGTCAGTGGAAGTTTCACATCTGATTTCAGATGGGGACGAGACCAAGCTGTTCATCTCCATGCAGCAATAAAGCTGCTTTACACAGCACAGGAGCCAGAATGCAGGTCTTAGCAGACAATTCACTTTTTTGAAAGAAATATTGCTGGATGAACATCCTTCTTCCCTCATAATTTCTGCAGTTGATTTCTTATTGGTCTAAACTATAAAGTGTTTCTTTGGGTACCTCAGAATGTTCTTATAGAACTTATAGAAGAAAACTGACATAGACCTTCATTTCCCTGACTCGAAACCAAAAACATGCATCTGCTATGGTAAAGCCATAAGTTTCACATTTTGGAGCAAGGAAACTATCATCTGCCTTGTGTTATTACTCACTGCATCTTCACAGGCCTACTGCAAGGCTTCTTCAGTTTGGTGACTGTGGAAGCCCAAACTTAATAATTTCAACATGAGAATTACTATTTATTTATAAGAGCAGAAGTTCATCATGAAGTTAATGCTTTGGAGATATGTTATTTAGTAAAAATATAGTAAAAAGCAAAAATAAATCTGCCTCTGTTATGTCTACATATGGTATGTAAGCCTCAGTTCAAGGTTATTTATTCCTTCGTTAGCCACTATTTGTTTCTAGGCTCAGAAGACTTTATGCTTATGGTAATATGAATGCCACCAATGCAAACAACAATTTTAATGAACATAGTAAAAACTGGGAAGTTTCCCTTTTGGGTTTAGTGGGACAAAGATCAGTCTCTCTAACTGATTTTGTTTTAAGTAAGGAAGTCACTTGCTAGTCGTAACTGCCACATTGTCCAATATCCATTACATTGTGTTTTGGGATTTTCACAACATGACTTGAAAAAAATATTCTTGAAAATAAAGTCTAACACAGTAGCTGCCCCTGGGGATGGAGCAACATTCATCAGTCAACTGACTTCATGTGCTAACAAGAAGGCAACTGAAGGCAGGAATAGCAAAAATGCGGAGTGTTTCAATGCAAGTAGATATTTTCATATTTAGGAATCCAACTTTGAAGATTTTGATATAAAAGCTGTTACTATCTTTGTCTTAAATGAAATAAAATTTTATCCTCTTCTTATGTATCAACAAAGTTACAATTCCTTCAATTCCTGCCTGCAGCTCCTTGATCCTTTTGTGGGTTCAGTTCAATTCACTGGCAATTTGGGTTTCCAATTCAACTATGGAAATGCATTCATAGATCATATGCATGGGTCATATACACATAGTACATGTATTTGACAAATCCAAAAAATCTTTTCTTTTCTTGATTCTGATACATCAATGCAATATAACATGTCCTTTCTGTTGATGCAATGCCCTTGAACTTCATTTATCCCTTCCCTTTACTGTTCAGGTATTATTTTCTGACACATGTAAATGTTAACAGATGTGAGAAGCAGTAAAAAGCATGTGGTATAAATGCTTCTTTCTGGCATATAAAAGGCACTTTCCATAGACAGAGAAAGCATTTGCAGCACTATGTAGACTTCATTTTCAGTTGGCARGTATCTATATTCTAAGGCGAGAGTCCAACTTTTTTTGCACAGTTAGCATGTCATACCAGCAACTAAGCACACATACAAGCTGTTTAGAGAACGTAAAGAGCCTRTGTAGCATTTATGGGTTCCACAAGCAAATGTAAAGCAAAACCAAATCATCTAAATATTCAAAACAATTAAAGAGATTTTGCTATTGTTAAAATAGCTTCAAAATAGCACAGAGCAGTGTGAGTGTGCTAGGGCTGTGCAAACATAGAATATGCAGAATTTACAGAATATGCAGACTGGAAGAGATCCTAGGAGGCGTCCARCCCTTGTCAAGGCAGTGTCAGCTGGGAGATCCGACCAGATTACTCAGGGCTTTATCCATCTGAGCCTGAAAACCTCTAGGGATGGAGAGTGCGTAATTTTGAGGCAACCTGTTCCAGTGCTAGATTATTCTCCTGGAGGAGATTTTCCTCATATTTCATCTCTTTTCTTCTGACTTGTGCCTGTGGTCTCTCAGCCTCCTGCTAGGCATTGCTATGAAAAGCCTGGCTGCATCTTCTTGACCTCCTTGTAGATTTTTAAAGGCYGCTCTCAGGTCCCCTGGAAGCTGTTGCTTCTCCAGACTGAACAAAGGCTGTTTCTTCAGCTTTTCCTCACAAAGGGCAAGTGCTCCCACCACCAACCATCTTACTGGCCCTGCACTGAACTTGTTTTACTTCATTCGTGTCTTTCCTGTATTTTGGGGGGCCTGAAACTGCATGCACTGCTCTAGGTTCAGTCTAATGAGTCATGRGTAGAGGGCAGAAATCACTTCTCTCATTCTACTGGCAATGTTCCTGCTATATTAGCAGTATCCTGCTGGTCGTCTTTGCTGTCAGGAGACACTGCTGGCTCACGTTCAGCTTGCTGTCCACCAAAAGCTCCACCMTGTCTCCACTTCGTGCCACTGTAAGGGGTGACTTGGAAACTTGTGCCAGTGAYTCCCATCCAGACCCATTCCAGGCCTGTCTGGATAGCTCTGCATGGCAGTCCTGCCCACAACGGTATTGAGTCCTCTCCCAAGCCCTCACCACCTCACCTCTCAATTTGATGTTTTTGCAAGCATATGGATAAAAACTATGTTGCCTTCTCCAGGACACTGGTAAACACAGAAAGTGGGACACAGATCCCAGCAAAGAGACCTGCCATACCCAACTTGTTACTGGCCACCAGGTAGATTATGACCCACTAACCACTACCCTGTGAGATGGATTTTAAAACATTTTACACCATGGTTTTACAGATTTGGCTGTCCACTCTTCTAGACTGTAAAATATCTGAAGTTGGACAGACATATAACTGTTTTTAAAATCTCACACAAAGCTGACTCGCCAAAGTCAATGWCACCCCCTGCTCTGCTCTCATCCACCCCGCTAGTCACTTTATGATAGAAGGCAATGATGGCCTGMTTTACCTTTGATAAAACTATGCTGACTGTTCCCAGTCATCTGTTTSTCTTCCTTGAGCTCAGAAACGTGTTCCAAGGAAACTAACTCCATAATTTCCCCAGGGACCAAAGGGAGGCTCACCGGTCTGGAGCTCCCCAGACTGTTGGCAGAAACTACTGCTTAGCAAATTCTCATTGCTGGGACTTAATGCTCTCTGACAAGCAAAGGGATAACAAAAATGGAAAGTTTTTTGTCCTCCAGGGCAGCATTAAGAGGTAAGGGTGTAAGCCATGGCATTTACTTGCACGTCAGGGTATCATGAATGATGCCATCTTCCACCATCTGAAAGTAGAACTTCCTTAAAGTAAAATCTCTACAAATACAAATTAACTAACTGAAAAACTATTTCGTCAAATAGAACAGCAAAGGCATCAAGATAAGCACTTGTAAAAGTCTCCCTTCAAAATCTGGGAATGGATCCATAGTAAAATAAAATACAAATAAAATGGA